GGCACCAGTTATCGTTGCAGCAGCTGCTGTTGCCCCACTCATTGATGCATCGGTTCCTGTCGCAGTAGTGATTCTTGTAGCAGCTGTAGTGGCATCGGTCATTGTAGCGGCAGTTAATGTGGCGCTATGGATTATGGCAGTAGTTTGTGTGAGGCCAGTTATTGTTGCAGCAGTTGCGGTGGTAGCAGTCATATTTGCAGCAGCTGCTGTTGCACCAGTCATTGTTTCGGCAGTTTGGGTGAGGACAGTTATTGTTGCAGCCGTTGCTGTTGCCCCACTCATTGTTGCATTAGTTTCTGTTGCACCAGTGATTCTTGTAGCAGTTTCGGCGGCACCTGTCATGATAGCGGCAGTTCCTGTGGCATCAGTGATTGTGGCAGTAGTCTCTGCGATACCAGTTATTGATGTAGCAGTTTCGGTTAGTCCTGTTATCGTTGCAGCAGTTGCTCTTGCACCAGTCATGGTTGCGGCAGTTTCGGTGGCAGTAGTCATTGTTCCGGGAGTTGCTGGAGCACCAGTCAGTGATGAAGCGTTTGCTGTGGCAGTAGTGATTGTTGCAGCAGTTCCTGTGGCAGCCGTTCCGGTGAGACTAGTTATTGTTGAACTAGTTGCTGTTGCAGCAGTCATTGTTGCGTTTGTTTCGGTTACGCCGGTTATTGTTTCAGTTGTTGCTGTGGCGGCAGGCAGTGCTGTAGTAGTTGTGATGTGACCAGTTACTGTTGCGGTAGTTAGTGTGGCACCGGTGATGGTTACAGCTGTTGCTGTGTTAGCAGGCATACTTGCAGCAGTTGCCGTGTCACCAGTCATTGTTGCAGCGGTTGCTGTGGCATGAATCATTGATGGAGCGGTGGATGGAGTGACAGTGTTTGTGACAGCAGTTGCTGTGGCAGCAGTCATTGTTACTGAAAGGGGTGTAGCACTAGAGATTGTTTGAGTAGTTGCTGTGGAACCAGTCATTGTTGCTGCAGTTGTTGTGACCGAAGTGATTGTTATAGCAGTTGTTGTAGGGATATTCGCTGTCACAGTGGTGGTCGTTGCGGTGGCCGCCGTCAGAATGTTTGCTGTAGTTGCAATCGTTGTTGTTGGCACTATTGTTCCTACGGCCGTTGTGCCAGTTTCTGTAGCTGTTGCGGCTGGAAGAACAGTTAGAAAGTAAATTATTGAATTTTATTCATGTTAGTCTGGCAAGCTTGTGTTCATTTGTGCCGAGTTGCGGAAGAAGATTAGTGTGAAATGGGGTCTTATCTTCAGCGAAGGCCTAGTTACATGGTCTCATTTGGATCAATAGGGCTGCGTCGTATTCAGTTTTCGTAATAAAGTGAGTGTCTTGGCTTAGTGTGAAAGATGGGCAAATTTATGTATATGGTTTCTTCTGGAAAGCGGTTCGCGGAATCTGCCTGATCGCGGCACTATGTGTGGTTTTTCTTCAATTCAATGTGGAAAGATGAATGTCAGGGGAACATATTCGACGGTTTAGGTGGATCTTTGTGTCCATGTGTTGGAGCTTATATTATTAATTTGAGATGGTCGTAGAAAAATTCGAATATCTTTGAAATGAGGATTTATCATTGTTTTTAACGTGCACTAGATGATTGTTTTATAGTATTACCCGGACCGTATGCCTTTTTCTGTTTTTTTTTGTGTATGTGATGTCTTCGTTTATATATCTTCGTCTCTGTGTTTCCGTTAAAAGCCTCGATGCGCGTGATTATATATAAATGAGCGTTTTTCGTTTTCTTATTGGTTCGTTATGTAGCTTGGTGGCTATATGTGTGCGTGTGAGGACATTTTGATTTAGTAAAAATAATGGAACAAGTTCTGATACATCTTTTTCGCGTATTTATGGTGCTAGGTTAATCTGCCGCTACGAACTTCGCGACAGACATTTCGTCATTGTCAATTTGGGGCATGTGAAATAAACTTGAAGCGGTGTTTTGTACATCGGCGGGTGTCCTTGTAGGTTGGTACGAGCAACAGTATGTCGTCATGAGCCAGGATGGTTCAGCCTGAGTCACTGTTAGTAAGCACAAGTGCACATGATTGAAGTAGGATGCGTGAGCATCCGTAGATGAGGATGAGTATGAATGGAATCGGATAGGTATGAATTGGCGAGAATCAGTGCTGTAGTAGTTTTTTAATGAATGTCGAGGCTAGGCCTGAGGAATGAAACACAATGTTTCTATGTCGTGAAAAGTTCATCTACTCTCGTTCACTGTCACCTATTCTCACTTTGGAGTTCACTACTGCACAATCGAGATTCAGGATGGTGGTTCGCACTCAGTCCTGCTCATTCATGCCTACTGGCGAAATTCGTGCCTAGTCTGACTCACAATTTCGAGCGTACGAAATAGTTTTCAGCTTATCGTACATACGACGTATCGCTATGTGAAAACATGCCTTGTAATAAATTGATTGATCGCCCAATAGTCTCGCCAGATCCAGCTTTAGTCAGCTGTTCTCGTTTGTTGAGGGCTCAACTTTGCTTACGACTATTTGCTTGTAGCTATCCAAAAGTGCACATATAAAGTTAGTTTCGATTAATGTCGAAATAGAACTGCAGTGTTTTTTCCGAAGATAGTTATTCTATTGTATTTAATCCGTAATCCCGCAACCCTTACATGGAACCAGTAGACCGGCCAGTCTTTAAAACTGCATTGACCGGTCAGAAGCCATTTCTACAGACCGCCCGGTATATCGGCCCCATTTATGCCACAACGGTCACGAGTTTTAGGAATCGCAAGTTCTGGCATGCATTTTGACTTAATGACGAATAAATTTGTCTTCTCAACATCAAAATACTGAAACTCAGACTTCCTCGAGATATGTTCGTAGTTTTGAATTCAACTTACATTAAAAATGAGGTACTATCGTGAACACGTAGGTGATCCTTGAATGTTAAGTTATTGAGACTATGGACGAGTGAATTGATGAAAAGAACATCCTCATACTCACTCTTTATTTGAACTTCGATTTATGGATGTGGGGATTGAGCTAACTCACATCCACGATCACGATCACGATCATACTCATATCCTCAATAGTATCGTGCTTTCGCTGTCGAATGACACTTTTGTGGAAAAGCATTTCGTCGACGTAACTTTGTCGCAAGCAAGAGTCTGGGTGTGGCGTGTAGGTGTGCATCAAAAGAGTACCCACATTTCACCCACACCCATACACCCGCATCTATAACCACACACCCACACTCACATCCTTACACATGTTTCCATGAGACTACATAGTGCCATTGATGCATGAAAAATCGAAGAATTCCATGACAGATGCTCCCCAGCGACAGCTGCTCCTCGGGCACTCGCTTTCGCGGCACGGGTATGGATGTGAGTGGGGAAAGAAGTGATGGACATTTACAGCCACCGCATCTCCCATACCTACATCCATAGTTGCGCCCACACTCACACCCGCACACATTCATGTTCGCACCCACACACTCCTACCCACACTCACATTTGCACTAAAACGTACCCATATTCACGCTCACACTCGCATCCACACTGGCATACACACTCGTATCCATAACCCTGCCGCGGGAGCAACAGTCGTGTTACCACATCGAAGGTATATAGTCCTGAAATCGTGCTCGGTTTACACTATGGAAGTCTAATATTTTTTATTCATGCCTGACTCGTGTCGACCTGTCTGCTTCCCAAATATAGGAATGATCGCGTTCTAAGAAAAATAGTGTACATGGGCAAATCTATTTCTCGTTTGAATATTTTAGGTAATCGTGGCTGTTTTTCAAATCAGTTCGAAGGCTCGGATCTACTGCTGGAGTCATTTTTTTGGTTTTATATTGATGGTATGTTCTATAATCGTTTCTCAGAAATCCATGCCTGCATGATGCAAAGTATAATGAAAATGACAATCTGCCTAGTGACATTTTTTCAGATATACGGAGTCTCGTGAGAAGTATGCTTGCCGAAGGTATCAACTGTGCTCTTGTAACGCAGATCAATAGTCATTGGGTACGTCGAACTTTAACCGGAATAATGAATATTCAACATCTCCACGACTTCATGTCCGACAAGACTCACACTTTGGTGATATCAGATGTGTATAGTGTCTACTTCATATAGTAAAAGCTTAAGTTCGAACAAACATTGTAAAGCTGAGAAAAAGAAAGTTTATCATCCCAACAACATTTTGCAATAGAATTGAAAAAGTCGATATCTTCACTCTTGAAGCCTGTGTGCACAAATTCTCGTTAAGTTAGATTACTTTTGCGATTTGGTACATATTTTCAAAACCTGAACTCAAAAAAAGGAAAGCGCCTTGAGTTATTCCCCGAAGGAAGATACATTATGCTGTGTGCCATGTCTTTTAAGCAAATAAACAATGCAAACACGGCATTGTACAAGGCAAACTTTAGTCTAGAAAACATCTTTCGAGTTGAAAGACATATAAATCCAAAATAGAACGATATACTGTTCTAGACTCTAAGTTTTTAGTCTAAGGAACACTTTATTTAGATATATCATTTGATAGATCGAATGGAAATTATCCATATGAACTAAGTTTTACTGTAAATTTTTGTATGTGCATGGCGCTCATAGATTGTTAAGTAAGTCTCTCGGATTATATACCCAAAACGATTTCTAAAATATGTTGAAATGTGTACATTTGTTAAATTTCTTGCAAGAATACATACAAAAACTATGTATGACTTGTTACATCTACCATTACTAAATAGTAAGTAAAGTCAATCTCGACTAGATCACAACTCAAGAAGTACATCTATTCTTAACTAAAATGATGAGTCGTATCCAAACAAATTTCCAACAGAACTTTGAATGAATCAAGATTCCTGTACTAGCCAATGTGAATATGAATATGACAGACTTAAAGGTCAAGAGTGTCAATATCAAATAAAACTTTTTTAAAAGCCTATTTTCAACACTGTTTTTATTTTTGATTGATAAGTTG